CACAGAATTATAAGATTTGTTATAAAATTAATGATTGCCATTTAATGTTTTTTAATTGAGTAACCACACAGATAAGTGACATTGAAAATACCTCGTTAAATTTTCAATTATCATTAGATCAAATTATTTTCTATTTTATGTTATAAGTAAAACAATAGAAAATTTATGTTTCCTGGTAAAAGTGAAATGATAATTTCCCCACAAGTTAGTGATTACCTTTGAAAATTTTTGATTAAATTACCTGATCAACTCAGTACTTAGCTCCTAAAATTTATCATGTGTTATAGAATGTCGTGTGCAGAACGTTAATGAACAATAATCTTCAAGCTATTAATTATAAAATAATTGACGAGAGCTTATAATTGATAACTATTACAAAAGAAAGATCAATTTCCTGTAGTGCTAAGGAGTAAACTGTATTAAATTGCCGGTATCCATTATTAATCACTATACCTGGATCGGCCTTATTCTCAACTAGAGATGAATTCAGCTCTTCAAATATTTTCCCAAGGTAGTTTTCATATTTTTGCATTCAATGTATCTTGGTGCATCACTTGTCTATATTATTCCAGTAGAATTTAAATGGTTCAAATAAACAATAAACATTGGAACTTTTGTTATTGTTATTATTACTATTATTAATTTTTCTAAAATGCTTATGCTATTTTTATAACTTTATTATCTACAAGTGTATAGTAGCAAGCAACGGTTAAAATTTTTTTTTATTATTGACATGGCTTGTGGTAATAACAACCTCTAAAATTGGATATCTATGTAGAAATTGAGTTTTCAATTGGTTTACACTAAAGAAAATATCGAGTTTTATTATCGTTTTTTGGCACATGCTAGAGAAAGAAAGAATTGCAGTATAAAGCTGTATTAACCACTGCGATGAAGAATGGGATATTTCAATAATTTTGAGCATTAAAATAAATCAAGTTTCTCTTATTAATTTTTCCAATTTTAATGAATTTTCTTTTGAAAGTAAAGTTTATAATTCATGAAGTCCTCATTATAAAATAATATTAAGGAACAATGTATTAATAAATCAGATAGCGAGAATGGTTCGATAGATATGAGCTGTACGAAACAGAAGACCAGAGTTTTTTTTAGAGTTAGAAAATTTTCTAGCTGATAATAGTTTATTAGAACTTTGTAATACGAATAATTACAAATTCAGATAAGGGAGCTTAGCTCCACTGGTGCACGAACAATTCAAAGTTCAAAAAATCGAAGTTCCTATGAATTTAAATATCTATTTGAAGTGAATTGTGTTTAGAATATCAAAAAAATCCTATTTTCTAAAAATGAGAAATATAATCATTTATTTATCTCATTTCGTACACGAATAAATTCTAGTTGTTATCTACTGTTGAAATTCGCCGACAGTTGCACTTCATTGTACAGCTGTAAAAATAAACTAAACATGTACAGAAATTTTCACGAACCACGTAGATGTTTGTAGCATTTGTTTTTTTAGAAAAATATTCATTCATTTCAGAGTCTGTATAGTTACATATAATATTTTTCTCGAGCGAAAGCCCTACCGCTACAAACCATAAAATCCGAAAAACAAGACCCGCATTCAGAAGGTTGGAATAAAATGATTTTTATACTTCTGTATGAAAAGCTCTGCAGAGCTTTCCTTAGATCAAAAGCCAGATTATCCTTTTTATATCCGAGGTCCATAATAATGGATGTGGTGTTAATTTGTCCTTTATTTTTGCATCAGCCATAAAATCGCTTCATCCTTGTGGGTGTGAGCTGTCGTTAAAAGTTAATCTGGAGGTGCTGAAGGATAAAAGATAGATTTATATCTGAAAAAAAGTCAGAATTATGAGCGCAAAAATTTTTTTCATAAATATAAAAACTAATAATCATCGACAATAAATATAAAAATAATCATTATCCTCAAAACTAGAATTTTCTCATGACTGATATGATTAATTTTCGGTCAAAAGTAATTTTTTTTTTCGGGCAATGACAAATATTTCATAAGCATTCTAGTTATTGCAATAATTAAGGCTACAGAGTGTCGGGTATTATACGCAATATACGGTCCAAAGCTTATTCGAATGTCTCGGTTGAGCCTAAATTTGGTTGAGAATTATGGAATCCCAGAGAATGCTCCGACATCATCCTTGGATTGTCATTAATGTCTCAATAAACAGTAATCTGCCAACGGTGGTTATTAAATGCGTACAGAATAATATTTAACTTTTTTCTCATAACCTTATAAGAAATAAGAAATTACCTTGTTAATTCTTATAAAACTTTCAAGCATCTTAGACCAGTAAAAAATTCGTATAATGGAAATTTAACATTTCAAATTCTTTTTTCATAGCTTAAAATATAGTTAACGAACAAAATTTATCTCATCAATTCCTTACATTCTTTTAAAACCTTTGTTCAATATAAGTTTTTAGTTTTTTTTATCGATATTAAAAACTATCATGGATTATTAAATGCTAAATTTACAGTGAAAATACCTCGGGGTATATTTTTCATCCTATTCGTACCGATTTGACGTTGAAGGTAGAATCGTAGTAGATTTAGCGAACGTGTTTTTCTACTTAACATCATTCTTTATAAGACTACGGTTGACATCGAAGTCATGATTTGCCTTCAACTTTTGCTTTTATCGAATTCAAAAATTCCCTGACAGACGTTTTCATATTTGGAATTTTCATTTTTTGAATTCAAATAGAAACCTTGTGACAAGCATAAAAAGATTGTCTTTGAGCTATTTCCTTCACGTTTCTTCCAATAGAAAGTTTCCATTTCATCCATTTCGTTCTTTCTATTTTCATCCAATGTGTCTGTTTTGGTCTATATTTGATATAGAAAACATTACATATACATTTTCTCTTGTTGGAAACACATTCGAACCAAGAAATTTCATCTAATATTAATCATTTTCAATCATTCTAAACTAAGAAAGTAATAAGATTTCTTGGAGTTCATTAATTATCTAGTAGATAAACGATATCTTGCTTTTGACTTCGAAACATACTTTTTAGTTGTAGGTAAACCATGCAAACCAAACCAAGTTTAATTTTGACTTGCTTTTAACTTCCTTAGCTTGCTCATTGTTAGCACCAAGTATTGGAGTTCAAAAGTATTGGAACGTCAAAAACAAGAAATGGTTTTCAACTCAGAAATTAATGTTTATCAAGAAGTTATAAATTAAACAATTCATTCTACATAATTATTTCAGTTATTTTTCCCGAAAACTATCCTTGTTTAAATTGAGAATTGTCTTCAATTCAAAGTAATCTTACTAAACGTCAATTTATCTGTATTTGAGGTTTTGAAAATTTAAATATTATGTATTAATTACGAACTGTGATATCGGATGCAGATTGAAAACAATGTTGACTATAGCATGAGGATTTCGTAGACTCACTGAAATTCATATTGGCAGTGAACTTATCTTCTAGGTTAGTGCATACAACGCACACAATTTGTTGACTAAATGTATTACGTTGGTCGATTTGATGAACGAACACAGTGCATCTGTCTCCATGTAATCCTATTCGTTCCGGTGATGTGAATTCGTCCATCCGTTGGTGTTACAGAGAAACTTCAATGTTTGGTACCCACATAAAATATTTGCTCAGAGTTAGATCCGATAGGTAACAATGAGCACGTTAATGAAACTATGAAATATTCCTGCTAGTTTCCACAATATTTTGCATTGCTAGATTTTTCTGCTTTAAATTTTGATAGTTGTTTTTCAAAAAAAATTTTAATGAAACGTACCAAGCATATTTTACATTGGTAATTACAGTCTGGAAATTTGTTTCTACTGATATTTTGCAATAAATATAATTATTGATAGATATAAAATTATTATTATAAAGTGTTATAATTATTACACAATTTTAAATTTAAACCTTTTCATTCATTCTAGTATGATTTAAAAAGAACTCTATGCTCTCTGAAGTATTGCTATGACAAACATTAAATAAATAAAAAGACATATTTTTTATTATGAAGTGAAAATGTTGAGAAAACTTTTCTCTATTTGAAACTTTGATATTTGTGAACAACAACTGAATATCATTGGCTTCAAAGCTAAACTTGTGTTTCTTTTTCCCTCGGGACATTGGTCTCTAAAAGTAATAATTCCAACTGCTGGAAATCATTTTAAAACATTAGTTGGAATATTACCAAGTTGCTAAGTGTGAGTATGTGAACGTTTTTATTATGATTGATTTTAATAATGTACAAACCAGAAAACCATATGGCAGTTCAACTTATCAAATAACATTCTCACATTTCATCAATATTTTTAATACTCATGAACTACTTTAATTGGAATAAAAACATAAATTTTTGAAAGAACAAGTTATTTTTATTTGATCCTTAGTTAAATACAATTAATTAAAATGAAAAGTAAATTCTTTCATCGACTTAAACCATCCACTTATTGGTAATTTTGCTTAATCATTAATTTATTCGTTTAATTGGTGGATTTTAGCAAAAGTAAAAGAATACTGAGGCGTAGTTAACTGAATATGCAAAGATCTGAAATGAATGGGGGTTGCAAAAAAACTAGTAAAAAAGATACAGCAAAAATATAAAGAACAATACAAGTAGAAAAGTATTTGGTATGTGCGACATTTCCAGACTCTAGTTTTATCCAATGGGGGATGGTTTTTTGGTAGTAGTAGTACTTGTAAAAGTACCAGTCTAGTCGCCCAGGTTATGCTCTATCGTCTACGTCTTCTGAAGATTGGGACGCGTGCGCGACAAGTTAATGAAGGGCGGGGGCAACATCGCGGATGTAGGAACAGGAACGTCATCTCTTCAGTTGGGTTTGGTACGCGACCCGCGCTTTTCTATCGAATTTTGGTATACTTCCGGCATAACTGGAAAACAATGAATTAGTCTAGATGCTTTTGACAGCTTTTATATTTTGATTATCATTTTTTTACCATATTCTTTTCTCAAGTTTTCCTTACAACGTGTTGTAAATTAAAAACAAAAATGTTTAAGAAATTTTTCAATTTAGATTAAAATTTTTATCGACTTTGAAACTTATTTATAAACAGTTGTTTTGAAAAATGCTGTCCAATTTTTTGAGTCTTTCATTCATAGAACTTTAGAAAAGTCATTCCAGGTATGTGTCATTTTTGTTTTTGCATATTATTAATCATTCCACAATTTTTTTTTACAACATATACCAACAGAAGTGATAACAATTTTACTGATATTTTCAAAAAGTGAATCGATAGAATTTATCTCATGGATAAATATAATAGTCTTTATTTTAGTTGATTCTTTTATTTATTTCTTGCAATTATTTCTTGTATTTTTTCTCTTCGCATCTACTGCAATCTAAAAATTTCTAGACGTAACTTATGACCGAGAACAAAATAATGCAGGGTTAAAATAAAAATATCCACCATTTTATTCTACATTCTTATTATATTTTGTTGTTTTGTTTGGAGAATTGCCATTGAAATTAAATTACTTTTTTACCATTCTTTCATTTTTCATTGTAAAAATTTGATGTTTTGTTTGATTAAAAAATTTAAGTATGGAATGATAAAAAAGCTCTACCATGATAATGTAAAACTTGAACAAGTATTTGAAACAAATTTAAATCTTCTGCTTGGAAAAATTTTTTAAAAAATTACGTAACTTTTAATGTGATAATTTATGTTTTTATCACTTTTGCATTAAAAAAGCAAAATAAGAAGTAAGATTAAAAAATAACGCTAAGTACAGTAATTTATGATCACGAGTGTCAGAAAAGGAGTTTGAAAGTTCATTTACCTCGTAGTTAATGTAAAGTTGCTTCCTGCAGTTCACAGTTTTTATAAATCGTTCATTCAAGTATTATAGAATGTTAGTTTTACAAGAATATTTCAATTTGTGTCATTTAAATTCATTTATTACAAAAATTTATCCAACTTCGATTTATTGAGATATTTCACGATATTTTACTATGTAAATACTTACAAACTTTGTACAAGAATCGTAAAATCTTCAGAATTATGACAATTTCTAAACAACAACCCAAGAATAAATTTATCTCGTAAATCCAACTATTTGGTACAGCTTTAAACTTCATATTTATATTATTTTTTTTTTCATTTATAAAATAACTAAATTTAACTTCTATTTTGTTCCACTTGTAACAAAATAAATTTTAAAAAACAAAATTTTTTCCATTTGTGCATTTGCTTCCGTTTTATCGCTCTCATTTAAATAATAAAAATTCAAAAAGTATTTTCGTCTTATCTGTTAAATTGCTCAAACGTTCACTTCATCCCTTAAGGATTTTATCAGGCAGTCGATTTATTTGTAGAGCTAAGATAAACAGAAAAATTTTCAGTGGCAATAACAAATAAAGGACATTTTAAGGGGACTTAAAATTCAATTTGTCGCAATATAAACATTTATATTTATCTCAATAATATTTCAATAATTGTATTTTTCATTTTTCTTTCTTATCTAATGAATTCTAATTTCTTTTCCATGTTCTATTCTTCATCAACAATATTATTTCAAATACTTTCTTCAAATAAATCATCGACAACGGTCGAATATGATCAATTAACAATTCCAATTCTATTCGAACTGAAATTCTCTACATATGATTTAACGTTAATATTAATAATCAGTTAAATAAATGGGCTCTCGGAACTTCATTATTACCCGAGTAGAATTTATTTTTGGGAAAGAGTTCGCATCCAATTCAAATTTCCTAAATTCAAGTTAGGCGCCAAATGGGATACCACATTAGGCCCACATTGGGAATGTAACGCTTGTCCCTATTAGGACCAAGTGAGGAAAGCCTAATTAAGGCAAGTTAAATATAAAAACTAAGTTTTGTTTGATTATCTCATTTTTTATGATTTTATATTGTTAAAATACTAATTATTAAACGTATTATAATTAAATTTCCGCGAAAATACAGATGCTGAAATTTGTTCCTTGGGGGATTCGAATCTACGATCGCTAGCTTGCTCGCATCTGAGACCAGTGCCTTTACCCGCTCGGCTATTCATTTAATTAAAAAATTATTACTATTATATTAATATGAACGAATCCACATGTATAATCTTTTAAAAGATTTATGTAAATCATTATTTATTTTAAATCTCCATAATAAATAATGTTAATGGTTTAAATATTTTCATGCGTTTAAATTATTTATTTTTTCTGAAACTACAATATATTTCCAGTCAACATAATTCAGTTAAGGTTTAATAAAAACAATTAACTATTGTTTAAAGAAAAAACAATATCTGAAAATATATTTATTATTACAATACTTTGTTATGGGAATCTAAAGAAAATACTTAATTTAATAAAAACTTTTTATATTGTTACAAATTCATTTTAAATTCATCCTCACAAAGTTTTTATTTGTTCTTTAAACATTTTAATGAGGATAATGTAATATGTGCCTAATTTAGATGTAATTTTTGTTAACCTAATGCGGACCTGATAAACATTTCCTAATAAATGACGAACTAAGACATCGTTTCAGTCAAGTTTATAAGGTTGTAATTGGGAAGTTATTGGATAGTGCGAAATTGGGCAAATTTTACTTCATCCTAAAAACAAATTGATCAGGCATAGGTTGGGAATGCCTAATTTACGCTAACCCATTCAATTCCCAATAAGGGCCCAATAGGTATTTAGGCATGCCTAAAATAAATTCTACTCGGGTATTGGCTATTATGTGCAATCGCATAACCGATATGTTCGATAAATTAGTCGCATGAAAGAGATTTCTGAATAATATTACCGTTTGAAGTACTCTAATCTTGTATTCTTGATCGCGAAATCGTTAGATATTTCCACACCAAAGTACTTGGAGCATTACACTTGATTAGACATTTTTAATTAAATATGTTTTATTTATCAGTTTAATGAAAAATAACTTTCATTTTCTGCTCTTGTTTTCAACAAATGAATAAGTAGTAATGTACGATTCCTCATACATTATAATGCAACCATAAAAATTGTTAAATTTATTAGTATTTTATGAGTACTCGAATAAGTTTATAGTTTAATATATGTAAACTTAAAATTCTTTGTTTTCAAAAATGTTACCAACTATTTTATGTACAATCGATTTAGTTAATCTTAAAAAGTATCTCCTACTGGAATTTCATTCGAATTTCAAAGTGTTTTTCATTCGACAAAGACAGATTAATGCAAAAAATGGTAAACACATTTTATAGAAAGATTAGAAGTTGAACCGAAAATCCGGAAAGACAATCTTCATGCTTTAACTGCAATTGCTGTTTTTTAGTGAATGTGTTGCACATATTTTTCTCAGAGTTTGTTATTTACTTGGCTGTTTTTACACTATACTCTCTTTTATCGACAATTTCTATTAAACGACCAAAAATAACTGTCCATTAAAGTTTCAAGAATTGTTTCCTTATCCAAATTACATTGGATCAGAATCGTTTTACTTTCTTAATTAGGATTTAAATATATTAATAATTTCCATTAAAATTTATCACACAAATATAGCGCTGTTGCACGTCAAGTCAACCAGCTAACACATAAGAGGCCACTATGTTTTCTCTACATAACTTATGGCAAATATTTGGTCTTAGCTGTGTTTAAATATTTAATGGAAATTAATGACTTCCTACCATGACAATAATTAATCTTGAAAAGTGCTCACCATGGACTGTATATTTGTTATACAGAGAACGTTGATTATTAATTAAAATATTTGTTATTTTAGTATCCACTAAGTGATAAACTGTCATGCTAAGCATCTATAGAATTTAATTAAATATTAGAACTATGTTTTTTCATTTAATGAATTTATTTAAGTAGATTCTATAATATAGTGTATAATACATAGAAAAAAATAAACAACGTCGCAAAGATTTCTCAATTATATAAAATACATCATACAAATGCCAATAAACATTGTTATATATGATTGACATATTGAATTATTTTTTGTTATCATGAAATTCAATCCAATTAGTATAATATTCTCCATTGTTATTCGAGCTTCTTAATTCCTACGGTCACTGTTATCGTCTAGATAATGATTTATAAAATATGAGTTAGATATTATTATAGATATCGATAATAATATTTTTCTCTCCATGACTACAATAAAGATTCACATCATAATAAATTGGATTGATAGAGTTCTTATTTTTCTTTTAAGATAGCATTTTTCTGGAGACTTGCTAAGCTTGATATTATTTTCATCATTTTATAGAATTTTTATTACTAATAAATATAAATATCAGTGCTCTGCTTTTTATACTCTTAGTATCTAGTTAATTTCATACTTCAGCCAAGTGTTATGAATATTGAATAATTCTTAAATATCTCAATTTTTTCAAAAATTCCATTATATCTTGAACAACATAATCAACGATTTGGAGCTTTAATTGCTTCATCCATCAAACAGAAATACATCTATCTTCGTAATGAATACAAAATTCATATTTTCATTATGTATTGACTGTCTGATGCGTGCAGTTGGAGTTATCATGAATTTTGATGGATATAAATTATTTTTTGTCCCTACAATTTCGTTTTGTTAAATTTCCTTGATTTTCATCGTATTTGTCTATTATATAGTAGAGCTCACAAAGAGAAATTGAAACGTGTAAATAGAACTCTCAGGGTAATAAATAGAATATTAAATTGAATCTCTAGTTGTACTGATTGCGACAAGAAAATAGAATTCTGACCACTTTCGTGCAGATTATTCGCACCAATTATTTTTTTGATAGAAAAGTTCAAATAAAACAAATATTTTATAATTTAAATAAAAAAAAAAAAGTTTTAGAAATATCAAATATGTGAGTAAATTGTTTTTTTTTATTTTCTTATCAAACATGAGAATAATTGAAATATAACACATAGATGGTTTGAGTTATGGAATATCAAATATAAACCAAATTCGAATCACGTAGTTAAGTTATAAGCTATAACTTATCTGTGTATGTTGTAAGCTGGGAACACATTACCCTGTTCCAAAGGAGGTGCGGTAAATAGGGTGATTATTCTATAATCTTTCGTGATAGATAATTCGGAAGGGAACATATTTTCTGCGTTATTCTGAAAATAATTAATTTAAAAAATTTTCCGAATGAATTATTGAATTACTACTAA